AGGCCATAAGAAGATCATTTGTAACCTTCACTAAAGCTGTTTCTGTGCTGTGATGAGCTCTGAAACCTGACTGAAACTCTTCAAATAAACCATTCCTCTGCAGATGATCTGTTAGCTGTTTGACAACTACTCTTTCAAGGATTTTTGATATGAAAGGAAGGTTGGAGATTGGCCTATAATTAGCTAAGACTGCTGGGTCTAGAGATGGCTTTTTGAGTAAAGGTTTAACTACAGCCAGCTTGAAGGCCTGTGGTACATAGCCGATCATTAGAGATAGGTTGATCATATTTAAGATCGAAGAATTAATTAATGGCAGGACTTCTTTGAGCAGTTTTGTAGGAATGGGGTCTAAAAGACACGTTGATGGTTTGGAGGAAGTAATTATTGAAGTTAACTCAGAAAGATCAATTGGAGAAAAAGAGTCTAACTTAACATCAATGGTACTAAGAGTAGCTGTAGATAATATTACATCTGTGGGATGATTACTGGTAATTTTTTCTCTAATGATAAAAATTTTATTTGTGAAGAAGTTCATGAAGTCATTACTAGTTAACGTTAAAGGGATGGTTGGCTCAAAAGAGCTCTGACTGTTTGTCAGCCTGGCTACAGAGCTGAAGAGAAACCTGGGGTTGTTCTTATTTTCTTCAATCAGTGATGAATAGTAAGATGTTCTGGCTTTGCGGAGGGCTTTCTTATAAAGCAGCAAACTATTTCTCCAGGCTAAATGATGATCCTCTAAATTTGTGACACGCCATTTCCTCTCCAGCTTACGAGTCATCTGCTTTAGGCTACGTGTTTGAGAATTATACCACGGAGTCAGGTACTTCTGTTATCATTCTGTTATCATTGTTTTGGCACAAAATGCATTCAATGACTACATCTCTCAAATTTCATGAATTATCTTCTCACTCAGACACAACAACTGCCAAAAATCTTTGTACGTACAGGACATTTTGCATGTGCTTACATACTGTTTTCAAAACTGTTAAACTTATGGCCAAAACAATAACACAATGCAAAACTTAAAAAGACAGCAAAATGCAACAGCAATATTTTATTGAAACATATTTTAAATCTAAAAATGCAGTTTAACCAGCCACAGCTGATTCTCATTGTAGATGAACATCTGCACAGGTGTTACTCCTTCAATCTTTCAACTCCTTCAATTCTGGCAGCCAGGAGATTCTTTCCTAGGTGTGTTGCCCTAGATGACATGAGATGTGATGTGGATGAGAACCTGTGGCCAAATGGAGGAGACCGAGTAGATTAGCATTACTATTGTATGTGTATCAGTGGATGGTGTGTATACAGATTCTTGTATTTTGGGATTACTTAGTGCAAAAAAATAAAAATACATAAACAAATATTAACGAATTCTGCATGATGTCTGATTCATTCCAGTAACATATATTGAAATTATAAACAGAGATGTGTCCTTGTTTTACACAAGAAAACACTGTAATGCTACATGTTGTTAGTGTTTTTTAGGTCATTGTTTTGTGGGTGACAAAGTGTGTTTGTCGGCTGTCAACCTTTGCTAGTGTTCTGGAAGAATGAGTTTATTTGAGACCTGAATGAAGTGTTTTGGTAGTTGTCGTGCATTTTGAATGTGAAATGAGCTGCTTTGCCAAGCTGACGGTCAGTTAGGAGGATTGTGTGAAGAGTTTTGCAAAAGTGACCTAAGTATTGGGAAATGTGTCCTAGCGTCTGTAAAAAACTGTAAATCCACCATAACCCATACCATTAAACCATAAGCAGCTACTGTAAGGAGTGTCACATTTACTACTTCTACTACCCAACAATCCACCATACTGTAGATGCACAGAATCACCAAGATGTCTGAGAAAACAAAAAGTGACAGATGCACAAAAAGGGGTGAGGGGAGGAGAGTAGGAAGATAAACCTATAAGAAACAATGAGCTCATAAAGAACTGCATGGGGGGAGGAGCGTGGAGGAGATTACTTACTATATTAAATGAGAAAATCTGTATTGGATGAATCTGGTGCAGAGAGGGAGGGACGCATGAGAGCGAGTAAGAGGGGCTTAAAGCAGCAGCATACCACTAAAGATAACCAAGAAAGACAAAAAGGAGAGTATTATTTTTCATATTAATGATTTTTCTTGCTTTAAATCATTTTTGTTCTTTTACTGGAATCAGTGACGTCAACAAGTTTTAAAATGCCTCAAAAAACAGTTGGAATCTGGAGCTGAAGTAGACAAATGCAGGTGAGTGTTTTATATCTGTGTGTGTGTGTGTGTGTGTGTGTGTGTGTGTGTGTGTGTGTGTGTGTGTGTGTGTGTGTGTGTACACTCTTTGTGTAAATGTTTTAACAGAATAAATAATGAATCATCAACTTTCTGCTTGTAGAGTAGGTTCAGTTCAGGTTTGTCTCACAGAGTAACCAGTTGTGTGTTTGCTCTGGATGACTTTAGCGTGTTTCATCTGTGTGAGCCATGTCCAGACATTGATCCTGACACTGACCAATGAGAACATTTCCTGACACACACAGATATATTTAGCTGTACCTTCTGTTGTTTGGGCTGTGATCCTGTGCTGGCACATGCCAGCTGAGCTATGACAGCGCGTAGGCTTTTCTCTTTTCTCTGTTTTGGCCATTTTGTAGCTTGTTAAAAATAAGTTCGAGTTGCCAGAAGTGCAAATCCTGTCGCCAGGAAACATAAGGTTTGTTGTTTACAGCTGTTTGTGTGATCTTAAAAAATACCTGTAGCCTTACAGGTCACTCACAGGATTCAAATGCTCTTCAGGGTGCAGTTCCCCCCTCCAGGGGCAAGGGTACCTAGACCCGGTTGTAGAGTACGCTTGGGGAGTGTGATCGTGTGTACAGCGTCTCTTTATGTCTGTCTCCACGTTGGTTGAGTGTGGAGTAAGTGCATATGAGAGCATGAGGGTGGGAATGGATGTTTGTATCTGTGTGTGCCTGTATGTCTGTGTCTATATGTCAGGTTGGGTGTCAGGCGCCACCTCTCTGGGGACATCTCAGGCCCTCCAAGGTTTGGAGGCCTATCTCCCCCACCACCACTTCCCCTGCCAGTGGCGGACTCCCTCAGACATCGGTGCGTTGGTGGTTCTTTGTGTCCGGGGATGGGCGTCCAGGTACACACCGGCTCACTCCTTGGCGGCCGCTTATCGGGGCCTGGAGCCTGGGGCTCGCTCGGGCCACTTCGGAGGTGGGGTGCCCCCGGCCTCTCGGCCTGGGGCTCGGTCACTCAGGCAGAGCTGGCTGCCGGCGGAGCTCACGGGCGCGTCACTGCAACTCCCCCTGGCTTCTGCTCCGCGGCTGCTGAGTGAGCCCTCATCTGGGACTCTCCTCAGCTCTTTCTGGGACAGTGGCGCGGCTGCCCCTCTGTTGGTCTTCCTTGGTCTCTTGTGTTCTGGGGGCCTCTGGATGTCTGGAGTTTTGATCTCCTCCATACCTGCTTCATGCCCTGGAGGACGGGGCTGTGGCCCCCCCACACCCTCTAGCAGATCATTACATGAAGGAACCTTTTAAAAAACAAGCGCGTCCATGCTCACAGGTGTACCACGGGTGATCACACCCACAAACTACACCCTTTTTGGCTCCTACCTCAAAGCACACTGTGTTGCTGTTGATCTTATGTGCTGCACAATAATGTTTAATATTTAGTATTTACTGTCATATTCCCATATATCATTGTGATGTTGTTTATTCTATTACTCTTGTTCTCTTCTGCTTGTTTTCTTTTTTCTTTCTCAGCAGGTGACTCCAGGTGATTGATATATGCATTTTTTTTCTTCTCTGCTCTTCTGTTGGTTTTTGTCTTTTGCCCTTCTCCCCCGTCCCTCTTCTCAGCTGTTTCTCTTTCCCTCTTTCTTTCTCCCCTTCTTTCCCCCAGTCAAGTCTGTCCCGTATTCAGTAAGTGAAAATAAAATAAACAATAAAAGGTGAATCAAATGGACCATTACGGCAAGGCTGGGATGGTCAATTTGGTAAAGTAAATCCGTTGGGCATCTTTCTTTGCCTTTAGACAATAATTCTGGTGGCAAAAGAGCCAAACGGGACAGGCCAAAAAAAAGAAAAAAAATGCTCTTCAGACTAAGAGGACGGATGATGTCTATCATATCCATCACAGCAGTCATTACATTAAATATTCATAATTGTAGATAATGTATATAAAGCTTATGCATAAAAAGGAAGATCTGTGATCACTCCTTGGCCTTTACATTATGAAGCAACTGTGTTCATGATCTGGTGCTTCTAAATCAAATATAACTGAACTGTCTGCTTTCCTGAGTGTTTAGTTGCTAGTCTATTCTCACCCCAACCGGTCGCAGCAGGTGGCTTCGTCCCTCACTGAGCCTGGTTCTGCCGGAGGTTTCTTCCTGTCTTTGCTTACAGGGACTCATATGATTGTTTGGTTTTCTCCAGATGTATTATTGTAGGGTCTACCTTACAATATAAAGCGCTTTGAGGTGACTGTTGTTGTGATTTGAAGCTGTGAAAATAAAATTTAATTGAATTTAAAGTTTATATTACTTCCACTTTCCCACACTGTCAAACTCAATGCTGACGTTCTTTCTCTAGCGCTGTCATTTTCTTTTACACCTTCATTGAGCCAATCAGCGTGCAGCCTTCCTCCTCCCCATCTCCCCTTAACCTGCTCACCCAGAGCACCATCCAACCACCATCATTATCTAGACTCCAGAGGGGTCCTGTCCTAATTTCTGTTAATGCTGCAATTCTGTTCTGCTATTATGGATCACCACATCAAATCTTTCATTAAGCGTGTATTAAAGTTTATTCTTTAAGGGTAAGGATGTCACATGTGAAACGGTATTCACGAGCACAATCACCGTACATATGCAGGACCAGAGGGGTCATCTGCATCAAAATAAAGAATTTTGTGCTTCATTAATGAGTTGTGCAGTCAAATATGCAATAATTTAACTAATTTACAAATTCATTTTAAAATTATTTTATTTAGAAATTACTAAAGATATTTATTATTTTATCATTTAATGTAAAATATAAACATTTATTATAGATCAGAATTTCAAAATGAATTGTTAGTCTGTTAATAAATGAATAATACAAAAGGATTTTACCATTTGCCATATGCAGCAGCAAACTTCCTGATATCAGGATGTCAGGTTCTCATTTGCAAAATGGAGAAGCAGGTTTTCTACCACTGGGATGCCAGCTTCTCCGCAGAAGACATTCCTTTCGGCACTAAGGTGCCAGGTGCTCTGTGTCTATCCCTCATTTGCAAATCCAGAAATTAACTTTTATAGCACTGGATTGGCAGCTTCTGCCATCAATCATTTGCACCCTATTGATCAGTTAACATGAACTGCGAGGCTGCTACAGGGTTAGATGCGCAAAACTGACTTCACTGTAAAAACAATAGAAAAGGATTGTTTTGTTTCATTTCAGACATACAAGTACAGTTTTTGTCAAAACTAAATATTTTTTATCCCAAAGCAGGAAGATATCCACCTTCACCTTCCTAACATGGGTGTACTGTAGTACTGTTACTATGACAGTTCATTAAGGCTTAATTATGCCTGCCTAATCAAGCAGGTAAGTTGAAGCCAAGTGTAAACACGGAGACAGAATACGTAGACCGAGCTGAGGAAATACACCTGAAGACAATTTGTCCTACAGTGTGAGCAGGTAGATAAATCCTAGGATGAGTTTTGGGCTAGAAGGCTGTAACTGTAGCAGAGGTCAAACCTGAGTAGGATCCTGTCCAGTTTTTTCTCTCTCAGTGAGAGACGCAAAGGAAACAAGAGGCCTGGGAACTGTGGATGAGCCTCACCTGAAACAAAAGAACAGGGCCTACAGGCGTGGTTTATATTAATGGTCACCAAGAAGAAGTTAACCGGCCTTTGCCTTGAAGTTCCACGACAGTGAAAAACTTTACTTTCAGCACGAGATAGTAAAAGACTGAGTAATTGTATGTACATGTTTGATATGACATATGATATTTGCATAACTAATTTATCACAGTTATGCAGACAGAAAAAAACTGTATAATCGTTCCACCCTGGAAAACGAACAGCTTGAGAAATCATTAAAAGGCCTATCAAAGCCATTATATTCATACCTGTGTGTATGCAATCCTGTGACTGTCAGTTGAGACAACATGGTGATAACATAACCTTCTTCATAAGGTTATGAAGTGGGCTTGATTGTACGAGTGGTTGAAGCCCGTCCACTCACCCTGTGGGGGAGGACGAGCCGATTATCTGCCAGCTGAGTATGGATGAGGTTTGAAAGTTTCATATTGGCTTCACTGTGCTGCAGGAGACCTGCAGTGATGGAAGGTGTCAGCTGTGTCACTGTGTGGTGGGGACGAACAGGAGAGCTGCTGCTGCTTTGGATTTCCATCACAGGTGAGTCATTATTGTGTATTACTGTGGATCACAGCTGCTCACCTGTTGTTATTGTTGTCATACTTTCATTCTCTCAGATCATTATCTATGTTCACCTTATACCAAAGATGTCAAGCTGGAAGCTGGTTCCACAGAAGAGGGGCCTGAAAACTGAAGGCTCTGCCTCCCATTCTACTTTTAAATACTCTAGGAACAACAAGTAGGCCT